AAGTTGTTTAATGAGAATTATAGTACTTAAATTAGAAGAATATATTAAGAGGAACCAGAACTGATAACTTATTGTTTAACAGATAATCCAGTGCTGTATGACAAAGGCATATTATGGAAGAAGTGATTTTTGAAATATTTTCTTGTACAATTTATAAAATTCGATTAAAAATATTGTCTAATAATCCCTTAATTCACCACTTACCTGGGAAATTTTAGCTCTTTATTTACCTTCCCTTCAAATTTATTTTAACAACTTTTTAAAACCTTAAAAATTTTTTATTACAGACAAGTTGCAGAAATAGAACAAAGAGCTGAATGTCTTCATCCAGAATTACCAATTATTAACTTTTTCCCACATTCCTTTTCACTCCCTCTTTTTCTACATATAGACATATATGTAATATTTTTTCCTAAGTCATTTGAGATTTCGTTGCAAACATCATACTTCTTTACCCCTAAAGTACTTGAGTGTTAAACAATTTTTTGTCACTCAGTTACCCTCAAATATGAAGCTTTTAGGCTTTTCTGGTAGCTTTATTTTTTCACTTTTAACAGCTTTATTGAGGTATAATTTATATACCATACAATTTATTTTAGACTGCATTTTTATTCCTTCCTTCCTCTCACTGGCAGTTGCTGGTACAATGCTGCACCTGGCTGAGCGAATGGTTTCTTTTGGAGCTGATAAAGCTGCCTTATGAAATCAGCTGACAGGTATATTATACCTACAGATGATGCTTTTTCTCCCAGAGTTTGGGTTGAGATTGACCCACTCGACAATTGCTAACAGATACCCTAAGCAAAAGACTAAATTTTTGTTCAATTTTGTGAATATAACTATAAAAAAAGATCTAAACTACTCAAGTTATAATTTTATAATAAATAGTATTAGCAAGATCCTAGATCTAAAATTTATCATTTGTCTAAATTTTTGGTCTTAAAGCAAGAAGGTTACTTTTGAATAAAAAATAAAGAATTCAAGCCCTCTAGGTTTCGCTCTTCATTCCGGAGTAGCATGAAGGATGTTTGAAATGGCTGATTTCCATTTTTGCTTTGACTTGGGATCATTTGCTCAGTTTTGGTTTTTTAAATAATATGTTGCTTGGGGATTTTTATACAAAATCAGTGCATTTTTACTGATTTGTTAGTTATATCTAAACTAGTAGCCAAGTTTGGTAGTATGTAACTCCTACTTATGTATTTCTCTCTTTTTTTCTCCCCAGGGACGAACTGTAAAAGCAACATCAGCTTGACCAGTATATAATATTACAGTGGATTGCTCATCTCAGTCCTCAAAGCTTTTCGAAAATCAACAGCATCACAGCTTGTTTTGGACTTTCTTACACTATTTTCAGCATGAAAATGTGTGGTTTTGTGAAGTTTCTGATTCTTCAAAGAGGCACAGAAGCCAAATTGGTAGAAGAAGGGTGCAAAGTATAATTTTGTGTATTACTACTTTAACATGCCCACAGTTTACTTTAAATATTAAAAGAAGAGGTTCTGCAAAATGAGGAACTTAGTTTGTCAATTGATTTTGAGGAGTGGTTTTTTCTTTTCTTAGACACAATTCTGTTCTGCTGTTAATTTATCAGGTTGCTTTTGTGCATCCGATAACACCACCATTCACAAGTTAAGATTCTTGGGTTTTGGATGTCTGTTAGATGCTACTAAGAAAATACAGATGAGCTTCCTTTTTAAAGCTTTTGATGTGGTGTCATAGAATAGCATGTTGTAGATACAATCAGCTGCTTTGTTACCTTAAAACTAAGCATTTGTAAATATTAAAACTTAAGAAGATGGCAGGTGATGTCCCTTAAAACACCCATCTATTCACATTGGACATAACTGACATAGTTCTTCCTTTCTCTCTTTAAAAATTATAGGAGACTTGTAGCTTAGTATTGTTTTTTTCTGTTTCTCTTTTGCTGCTGGTAATGTATATGAATTTAACATGCTGTGTAAGCTGTGTCCTAGTTACTGAACAGTTTATGCAGTGCTGCTTTGCCAAATAAAGTTACAAGTGAAAGAGGCATTGGTGGTGTTTGAATATAGAAGAACCTCATGTCACCAGGTGCAGAGTGCTAAGATTACAGAGAAAAAATTTGTTCCTCTGATGCTCCATTTTGTGAAATCTAAGTGGGTTAATAGCATTAATCTAACTGTACATTTGTAAAATGTGACTGTGTTTCTTGAGGACAAGAATGACACCTCATTTATTATTTTTCTTTGCCTAACACAGGGCTTGTCCTCTTGTAGATGTACAATAAGTGCCAAATGAATGAATGAATTGACTTACTGTCAAGAAAGAACAGGGCTGAGAATAAATTTACCAAAACCCATCCATCACCTATAAATAGATTTATTACTATATCAACTGTAAAATGAGTTCCTAAGAAGACAGTAGCACATTGGGATCTTGTTTAAATGTAGTTTTATACCTTTTATAGTAGGATCTTAGTTTTTCTAAGGGTTCTAGAACTTGAAGAAATAGAAACTCTAGAGGTAGCAGAACTAGCACTCCCAGCAAAGCCCTTCGCTCTGTTGTGTGCAAGTGTGCGTATGACTCTGGCAAGTAGAGCCTTAGGGTGTGAGGCACCCCTCCCTCACCTCTTAAAGTCTTAAACATTACTTCTTTGAAAATGGCTTTTAAAAAATTATGCATACATCTTTTCACTAGTGTCTCTTCTTGGACAAGGTCTTAGGTATAGGAAACTAGCTTTAGTAGGTGGGCAAAATGTGTGAGTTTTGAGTTCAATGCTGGCTTCAGTTTGCTGTTGTTGGTACTGCTTCTGGACTCAGGTATTCTTTAGAAATTAAAATTAAACTAATTCTTCATCTTACGTACTGGTCTGTATCCTTCCTAGCCCTAATTATCAACATTTTGCTCTATGTAAGTCCCTTTGTTAGGTCTTGGGGATAGAAAAAGGCCCTTACTCTCAAGGGGTTTGCAGTCTGATTGAGGGGATAATTTATAAATCTGATAAGACAACCTAAGAGGCATCTGATTGGTGCAGACAAATGCTGGGCCAAGCATTGCTCTTGGACTTCACACTTTTGTGAATTAAAATTGTTAAATAGGAATGGAGTTTAGGGTAGCATCAATAAATGGGGAGAGATAGAAATAAAAAATTTTAACTAGATCTGTGAACTTTTCTCTTTAAAAGAATTGAATTTATGTATGTTTTGATCCGAGAAGAAATCTCTTTGATCTTTAGTATTCATAACTTCCAAAATATTTTAGCATTTCATTTTTCCTTAATATAAGTGATTCCTTTACATAATATGAAGGACAACAATAAAAAGATTTTTAAAAGTCCCAGCCTAGTGAGATCCTGTTGATACAAGATGATTTTTATAGATCTGCTTTTATTAAAGCCAAATCTAGCTCTCAATTATGAAATAAATTAAGAATTTAGTTTTGAATGAGGGTTTCAGCTCTTTCCCAACTAGTATTCAAAGAAATGACATTCTGCAAATATTTAAAATTCCATTGCCCTAATTTTTGAAAGTTGCATTATTCAAAAAAAGCTGATTATCCTTTTAAATTGACTATCAGTTACTTACACTAGAGCATCTTAAAAATTCAATGTATTTTAAAATATAAAATATTTTTTAATAATAACTTAATACTCATGAATTCTTTGAAGCTATTCTTGGCATCTGATTGTCAGCCAAGAAATAAAACTCCTTAGTTTTGTTTCATTAGAGAGGTAGGTGTTTCTGGTTTTTGACCAAATGTTAACAAATGTTCTAATGGTTTGGTACAGCCCTAAAATAACTCATCTGACTATGGTAATGGAAAACTAGTATTGCAAATGAAATAACAAACATAGGAAAATTTTTAAATGTTCTAAGTGGGGTTCAAAAGGCTAATAACTTAGGTAAGTAGTAAATTTCTTGCTGAGTATAAATCATCATTTCCTATAAATTACTGTGCTCTTAAAGAACTGCATTCAGTAAACAGGTAAGTTCTAATCAGATTTCAGTTTCCTGTCTCTCAATTTCTCCTACCATTTTCCAGGAAGATGACAATGTTTTGTCCCCGTTGTACTGAAAGGGTGGTTCACAAAGAGGGCCACTAAAAAAATCCTACTTGAAGAGAACTAACTGGCTGTCCATGGGGCCCAAGAAGTTTGTGTTTATGTATTATAATATAATAAAAAGGAAAAAAAGTCTGATAATCTCCTTATCCTTAATCCTAATATCATTGCTACGACCACAGTGGTTGGTTCCCCACCTGAGGCTTCATCTTTCTAATTGACTTTGTGCTGTTTGGCCAGGACTGTGACGTGCTCCCTTGCTTTAGTCCGCGTAGAGTGTTGTAGGAGCCAGTGAAACCCTCACTCTCTTTCCCCTCTTTCCTGTTCTTCTTGCCTCTCTCCCTTCATTTCCTTTCCTAACATAAGATGAAGTTCTGGCTGCTGGGTGTGAAGAAATCATTCTCACTTGGGTGGAGTATCCCAATAGGATGGGCATCACACAATAATTTTTTTTTGTCCACAGGGCAGGTGATGGACTACTGAGGCAGCAGTCCAGGGACTAAGGGCAGCTGAGGACATTTGTATTTGAATTCCCACGCACTGAACATTTTACTGTGCCCTTTAAAAGATCGCATCAAGGCATTTCTTTTGTCAGCACTCTTTGTTTGGGTCTTTGGTGATTATCTGTCAGGATTTTGCCTAGAAATTACATTTTGGATCAAAGAGCCTGAAGCATTTCCATGCTAGCACTACTGTATCAGTTTTAAATCAAGATAAAAGGATATTTTCTGAGGAAAAAGACTTGCACTGCTGCTGTCCAGCATCATGAGAGGATGGTACCACATATCACTAGCCCAGGACAAGATCCAAATTCAAAATTCCAAGTACAGTTTCTACTGAATGTGTATTCTTTGCACCATCATAAAGTCAAAAAAAAGTAAGTCAAAGCAATGGAAGTCAGGGACTATCTGTACTAGCAACTATGATTATATTAAAAAGTTGTTTTAAAAAAGGCTTAAAAATATAATACAATTTATTAAAGGAATATTGTACATATAGATATGGGACATCTTTTGTCAAGTATTTCAACACCGTACCAATACTAACTTGTGTTTAATTTTTTTGTGTATAAAAGATGTGCTGAAAGATGCATGCCTCATCAGGTTTTATTTTATTGGGTATGGCTGTAAGTGACATCCTTCTATATAAAAACAAACTGCACAGCATCACGTATAGAGTACAAAATCTTCAGTTCATTCACACAGTCATTTCTAAACTCCTTGAGGAAAAGTTTAAATCTGCTCAATTCTAAAATTCAACAAAACGCTTGAGTTTCTCAGGAAATAAAAATAACCAATTTATTTGTTTTCCTAGAACTACTCATCCATTTGTTAATGTATTCAGTTATATCTGTGACCCAAATTAAGTCCTTTGCCAAAGGAAAAGCCTATATCAGGTTCAGTCTAAAAATAAAGTGTTCTAGAGGGTTTCAAGAATTTTAAAAGATTTGCCACTTAACAGTAAAAAAACATATTATGTAAATAGGAACATCACAATATACGTTCCTCTCAGTAGAATAATTTCTAGAATGTGCATAATCCCAGCATTAAGCAATGATAGAAAAAATATGCCTTTAAAATCCTGAAGATTAAAAGGTAAAAGATGCTAATAAGCTAGATGCTGGTTTTCTGTAAAGATGAATTTGTGCAAAACTCCTTTATGCTCTGGGAATACATAAGCCTGGCATTAGCTGTTTGCACATTATAACATTTTAGAGCATTAAATAAATAATGGAAAAACTGGCTCACTCCACTGGACATAAGAACTGCTGATACTTAAACACATGATGTTTTTACAAAAGCCGTACCCAGAAATCCATTCAGTGTTCTGCTTTTCAATTTGAATGCATTTTTCCTTCCTTCAGCACATAACTAATGTTGAAAACCAGTGACTATATATATGAACAACTGTGTTCTGGACCATCAAGTTGAGTAGATACAAGAAAGAACTAATCATCCTCTTTGCTCATTTTGCCCTCAGCTAAGTTTCTGTTAAAATTTTTGACCTGCTGGGTTCTCTGCTTCCACCTTGATTTCCTATCTCATTTAATGACCATGTCAGAGCTACGTAATCCAAAGTCTGAGTTTTTCTCCCAAAGTTAATGATGTCAGAGGCATTGGGAAGAACCCATATTCACCTTCCCCGAGGCCTCTTTGATCTGCTCCTTAGGTTTATAATTAAGATATTCCTACCATAGATACCATCTCATTGAGGGTATAAACATTTGAGATCCATCCTCAGAAACAGGTTTGAAGGGGAGAAGGGAAAGGAGAGCCCTGGAAGCTGAACTTGAGGAACAGGAGGCCACAGAACAAGGGAAGCAGGGCAGAAAGTAGAGTTAACACTGCCCTTCTCAGGCCACCTCTTGAGAGACTGAATTTTCTGCCTTGGCTAACTACAAATTTCTGTTTTTAGGGATACCTTATATAAATTAGAATCAGCTATGTAAAGGTCTTTAATCATATGGACTCCTGTCTCTAAATTTCAAAATAGTTCACATACTTTCCAAGGAAATCAATAAATAAAAACAAAGGTTTAGGTCTTGCAGAATCTTTAGGGTTTTCAGTAGTTTTCTTAGCCCAGTTAAAAACAGAAGAGTTTATAAATATCAGAACCCAATATATGTATAAATTATAAGTGAAACATGTCCTTGACCTCAGCTATTTAAATTACACTTATTATAGATACATCCCATTTATGAGGTAGTCAGATTCCTCAGATGTAATGGGACGAGCTTTTTTAAGTTTCTGTTTCACCAGTCGTAGTCGACAAGCAACCATGAGAAGCAGCAAAGCCGTGATTGCCAAACCCAGGGCCAGGGGCAGCACTGCACCTGTGCAAAGGTCAGAGACAAACAGAGTACATCAGTGATTAGTAACAATCGCAGCTACAATTTATTATATGGTAAGTACTTTGCATGCACTATTTTGTTTAATCTGAACAACTCAAGTAGGCATTTGTATTACCTCCATTTTGCAGATTAACTGAGATGCAGAAAGATTAAATGATTGGCCAACGAGCACATAGCTTGTAAATTGCAGGTCTAGGTCTCAAACCCAGACTTCTTTAAAACCAAATTCTGTACCAGCCAGGCTCCTAAAAGATTTGTATGCCACCAGTGGGTACAAATGTCACAGTTAGATCATCCTTACATCCAATTGTAATAGATATTTTATGACTAGAACTGTAAAGACATTGTGACCATAGGAAATATTTTCATTTTAGTTGCAGCTAACATTTATGGATTCATATATGATCATTCTCTCTTAACATAAGTATGAACTAACTCCTCATTTTTTCTTCTGGTTAGGGCTTTAAGGAATTTGTTTCCTAAATCCAGGAAACCTACTCCCAGCCAGGAGAACCACTATTGACAACTTGAGGGAAAAAAACCTCTTTGGTTCTCCTTCAGAGGCTTTTTCCTGTGCGGCTGGTCCTAGACACGTAGACTAGAAGCAGCGTTTAGAGCCTTTCAGGAGTCTGAAAGGGACAGAGTGTACCCCAGATCAGTCTTTCTTATCAAGCTCAGCAGGCTCTATTCTTAGTCTCATCTACCCTGTAGTCAGGCCAGGCTTGGAGATGATATGGTGGAACTATTTTTAGCTACAGGGGTCTTGCCAACTGGTGGAACTAGAGAAGCAAAAATCTCCATTGCATAAGCTGATTTTATAACATTTTCTTTCATTCAGTTATTCATTCATTTTGCATTAATTAGCAACCATGGGCCGAATACTGGTAATCAAAGATAATGAAGTGTGCCAGCACTGTTCTAAGTGCTTCACAGATTAAGCAGTTCTCACAACCACCATATGAGTTGACACTATTATTACCTGCATTTTACAAATGAGGGAACTAAGGCATTGAGAATTAAGTGACTTGTCTGAGTTTATAGGGTAAGTGGCAGAGTCAGGATACAGCCCCAGGCAGCAGTTCCAGAACCACTGTGGTCCACTACTTCTCCAAAGCTAAATAATATTGTTTTTTAATGACTTCATGTCTGGGTAGATAGACATTTAAATGAAAAGATGCAATAAACTATTATAGTTACTATGATAGAATTATATATGAAGGACAGATATAAAAAGGAGTGGTCCACGTATCCGGTTTGTAGGATTTTTGCTTGAGTGATTTAGATGCGATGGGGCTTGTTTGGGATGAATGAGACAGATTAATTTATTTTTTGACAGTTTCAGACTGAGATGCCTACAGCCAGTCCGGGTGGAATTTTCTGTTAGGCTCTTGGATTATTTGGGCCTAAATATCTGAGGGCCTTTAGCATCAAGGTGGTTGTTGCAGCCACAAAAGTGGGTGAGACTGCCAGAGAGAAAAGGAGAAGAAAGGAGGGCCAGGAGCAAGGCCCTAGGGAATACCAACATTTAAAAGGGCAGACGAGAAGAGAATCAAAAAGCGCACAACGAGCTCAGAAAAATGGTCAGCATCCAACAGAGAGGGGGGTCCTGGAAGCAGAGGGATGAGGCCATTTCTAGAGGAAAGCGGTCAGCACAACCAAATGCTAAGCAGAGGTCAAGTGGGGGGAAGCCCGGGCTCAGCAACTGGAATTCATGTACAGGGAGGTCAAAGGCTGAGGGATGCTGTTTTGTTTTCTACATATTTTGAGAGATCAGAATGTGTCTGAATGTGTCTGGGGGAATGAGCCAGGAGAGATTACAAACACTGGGAGTTAACAAACGATGGAGAAGCAGACTTGCGGAGATAAGGAGCTGCATCCAGGTCAGGGGGAAAGACTGACCTTGGCAAGAGGAGATACCTTTTCCCTCAGTGCTGAAGGAAAGGAAGAGAGGGTGAGTACAGACAGGCGTTTACATCTGCGGGTAAGTAACTGAGGAAGTTCCCTCCTGATAGCTTTGACTTTCTGAGCTTAAAACTAGTCTTAGGTATAGCTGGCCTCGTCTCAAAGACAAGAGGACCTGGGGCTGAGTACATACTAATGGCATTTCAACCTCTGGTGTGTTTGTAGAATCCTAGGTAAACCTCCTGACGAAGATTCTCAAGAGTACTCTGGAAGTGTGTGGGTTCAGGAGGATGGGATGGGGAAGCTGTGTTAGTGACTCGGGTACAAAACAAAGTTTTGGGTGAGGCCAGTATTCCCATAGAGAACTGTGAAAGATAAAAATCAATGATAAACCAACGGTCTAGAATTGGATTCTAGAGCTGCCTCATACATTCTCACCTCCCAGTGGCAACCCTGAGGAAAGAAGTTTTGAAAGGGCTTAACTGAACCTGGAGGTGTCAGTTCCTTCTGCATCTTCCTGTATGAGCGACATAAGTTGGATATGTTTTTTACAAAGGATTTGGAGAAAAATAGAGAGACTTTGGTCAACCCCCACAAAAACCCTGGGAACCCCAAACCATTTGTTTTAAACTGGAGCCCAATACCCAGCCCGGATCCTGTTTGTTCAGGGCAGGTTGCGCTTCTAGATGTGTGTAATGTGTTTAAAGATGAGCGCCAGCGTTCAGGCTCCAGAGGAAGGGAACTGTGGTTGAAGACCCCACCCCAAGTCTGGGGCTCAGATTTAGCTATGGCTACAATGATAGTACCTAATCTAGGAGGATTTTCTGTTTGCTAAAGTCAGATACGAAGTTGCTGAACTGTCAGATCTGATTCCTGATTAACGCTTTGATGACAAGATAAGTCTCCCATAACGTACTTGCTAGGAGACTGAAAATGATTCTCAGCTTTCACTCAGTTGACATAGCTTCTTCAATATTTTTAGTTTGGGTAACTTGAGATTTTAAAATTTCCCAGCTCCTTCTAAAACACATCACGATAGTTTTCTCAGAAACGAGCTAAGAGGATGAATTAGGTATTCTGTTCATAAGACTGGAGTGACACTCAAATCTGTAACAGTTAGAGCAGGCACGAGGCAATCAGAATTGAAGCTCTCTGGATACAGCTGGCCATGGGAGCAAGGGACAAGCCCGGTTCTCTGTGTGTCGACAGCGGATGGGATCTTTTTATCCAAATATTCTGGGACAGGCTAAGTTCAGCAGGCCAGCAGACTGGGCAGCATCCAGGAACTTGACACCTGGGTTATTTTAGTCATTTACTATTTAAAAGGTATACTTGAATATTGTTCAGATGTTACAAAGAGTACTTGTAAAGAAAGTTTTCTCAATGTTTAGATATACAACTTGAGAATCCTATTTTGTTCTTAATATTCTTTTACTAATTAGTTTGTGAGAGTATGTATGTTGAAATTGTTTTCTTTCTAGTTAAAAATAACCAAAATGATGGAATTATGATCTTTTTCTCCTGCCTGCTAAGTACTCCCTCTCCTTCCGACCCCCTTTCCCCCTTCCTGCTGTCTTCTGTCCTTTGTCCCTAGAGCACCTCGAGAGAGAGCTGGGCACACTAAGACCTTCGCCCTTGTTGACCATAAACAACAGCCACGATAGCCGCCATTCATGTGGCTCACTGCATGAGCAAGCAGTGTGCTGAATGCTTCATAGTAATTGTCCCCTCTATTCTAACAGCTCTAAGGCAGGTACAGTTATTATCTCCATCTGACTAATGAGGAAATTGAGATCCAGAGAGATAAGCTGCCCAAGGTCTTAGAGTTTAGTCGGGGAGCAAGGATGTGAATCTTCGCATCTGATTCTAAAGTCCATGTTCTTAACCACTGTGTCCTGAGTATTATTTGTTCCATAGAATGTGACACCTGGAAGGAACTATAGTGATTATCCAGTCCAACTAACTTAACAGAAGAGGAAGCTGAGGTTCAAAGATGTGAAGATACTGGTTCAAGAGCCCAAAGACGAACATGGTGTAGGAGATGAGAATGCACTGGTTCTTCTGACCCACAGATCCCTGTTCATGTCATGAACTCTTGCAGCTTCATCTGATAACCTCAGCTACAGGATGTGTGGTTCTGCAAATGCTTATTCTCTGCAGTGAATTTCCAAGGTATATATTTACCTGCTTCTGGGGCTGGGTGTTCTCTTTGATTGCTCTTTGACTCAAAAATATAATTTTTCTCTTTTCCATTCTTCCCTGAGGAACCACTACCTGCAGAAAATAAATAAAACATATAGAAGGTACATCAGAAACTTCAGGGAACAGACACGAAAATACAGCCTTATTTATTTTTTAAGGATAGACTTAAAGGAAGCACTTACAGACTTTATTTCTCCAATAAACATAGGCCTATGTTTGATAGTAAAACTCATGTTTGATAGTAAAAACTCATGTTTGATAGTAAAAACTCATTAAAGCAGAGTGAGAGGCTAGTACAAAATCAGGGGGCAGAGAAGGGGGAGCAAGCACATTGTCCCAGAACTTCCACCCCTACCCAGAGAAGGAAGGAAAGGCCTCAGCCGGAAGTCAAGGGTCATCTCTGAACTTCATACCGTAGAAACAGACATGATCCAGAAAAGTTTTTCTTTAGAAAATGAACAGTGAGCAAATATAAAGCACTCATAAGCACACATCATACATAAGGTACTCAGACGTGCTACTTCACTTTGTTATCTCAGCCCTGCTTAGCAGGCAGTAATAGCTCCATTTTTTTCTGGTTAGGCTCAGAGAGGTTCAGCACTCAGCCGGGTTCATTCAAGCAGTAGGTGGGGCCCAGGGCTGGGATTTAAACTCAGGTGTGTCTAACTGCTTGTTGGTGGAAATCAGCACTTCTGATTTAATGATAGGTTATCAATTCTGTTTTAACTATTCTATTAACCTATAATTTACTACTGAGAACAAATATAAAGAAAGACCAGATTTTAGGATTTTTATCCCAGGTTCTGATGAGCCATGGCTGCGTCATTCTATTATTTGTCATCTAGGAATTCATAGCATTTGTGTCTACCACATTGACAGTATCATAATTAATGAGTTAGTGGAGTTACCCTCAGGCTGTAGTGCAACTTCTTTGGATAATATAATGATTAACGGGAAAGAATTGGAAATGATCAGCTGACATGAGGAACTTTATGAAGAAACCAAAAAAAAATTTTTAAGCTTCTTTACTCATATGGCATCAACAGAAATGTTCAAAATAACCTACAACTAAAATAAGACTATTTAAAAGTAGTGCATAAGATTCTTTGGTCATTTGTAATAAGAAATATACATGAATTTCATGAATTTACTAAGGATCATAGAATCAACTGCAAAATGGAAAACTGTAAAGGTATTCCAGATTTCCACTAGGGCCAGAAAAAGCAATGATGTTAAATGATCATTGCAGTCATGTGTTAAACAGAAGGGACTGTAACTACGTTTATTTCATTAAGGCATCTTTAATGCCCCTTTCCACTCAGCCCTTCAACCCATCAGTCACCATATCATGCAGACCCTCTTCTCTGTCCTCACTGCCGCACGTGGCCCTGGGTCTCCGTCACCTTTGGCTTGGGAATCGCAAAAGCCTCCTCCCTGGCCTTTCTGCTCTTAGACGTTACTACTGGAGTGTGTCTGCAAAGGATACACATCCCACTCATTCACTATCAGTGCCGTAAGGTCAGCCCATGTTTGCTTCTCTTGGCCAAGACCAGCAGGCTCGCTACCTTCTACTGTGCCTCTAAAAGCCCATGCATGCCAGCCTAAATAGAGCCAGTCATTTGGGCTCCCTCCGTAAACTCTGAGCCTAAAGAGAAGGGAAGAGTAAGGCATAAGCAATTTCTTGTGGGCTAGGAATCAGCTTGATTTTTCAAATAGACTTCTATTAGTGTCCACTTTACTGCAGTGGTGGAGGCCCCACTGCCGCCCACAGTGAGGGGACGGAAAGGAAGAAGAGCAGCCAGTGTGAGACTGAAGAGAAGACAGTGACCACCTTGGAACCAAAGGGGAGAGAGACGGCCAGGTAAGAGTCATTACTGTGGCTGGGCTGCCAGGTGTAGGGGCTGCTCAGCCCTTAGAGCAAACGGATTGTCACCTGGGCTGGAGACCTGCACCCAAGTAGGATGGGGACAGGGACTACTGAACCTAAATGACAGGGCTGGTGTAGCGCTGGGACCATACAAGTTCATTTTGAATCTTCAGTTGTCAAATCTGAAGAGTATTTTCTTAACTGCCCTCATGCCCTGGGGGAGGAAGCCAGTGATCTAGGAGGTGGGAGAGATGGGACAGACGGGGTAATTAGGGAGAGGGCGGTGCCCAGAGGAAATTTCAGAAGACACAATTGCCAAGGACTCTAGAATCTCCTAGGGCACCCGCCCTGCCCTCTTAGTATTTGAAATGGGAATTTCTGTTTTCTACATTTTATGAAGGAATTGACCGTAATTTCCTAGACTGCCTGATTCACTTGTCCCAGACAGCAGCATATGGAATGCCACAGAGAAATGCCTCACTTCCACACGTCCTATCACAGGCTGTAACCAGTGCAGCAAGTCAGAACAAAACAAGACGACTACATCGCTTACTTTCGCGAATAATTCACTTTGGTAATGATCCTTTTGGAAGAGTTAATGTTTCAGGAAATTTTTTTCCCTCCTCTGAATGATATATTGGGTTATGTCGAACATACATAGCTACACATTCACAGAGGGAGTTGGAAGCTGGATGGCAGTTATTTTAATCTCATTTTCAGTTGCCACAGAACATACAGGCATGTTCTAGAGGGAAACTGGAAAGCCAGCTGGGAAACTGGCTACCACATGGGCCTGCCTCCCAGAGTGCTCTGTAGATTCCTGTGACCACCTGCCAAATAATGTGGACAACACAACTGTCCTTTCTTGCTCTTCACTGGTAGACAATACTGTGTGTCTGCCAAGTAGGTAAGAGGGAGCTCTCATCAAGAAATGCTCTGAAATGGGGTGGGAAGGGATAAACTGGGAGTTTGAGATTTGCAGACACTACTACATATAAACTAGATAAACAACAAGTTTCTTCTGTATAGCACAAGGAACTATATTCAATATGAAAAAGAATATGAAAACAAATATGTGTATGTATATGGACGACGGAAACATTGTGCTGCACACCAGAAATTAACACAACAATGTAAACTGACTATAATTCAATTAAACAAAAAAGACTGGGAGGAGGGTATAGCTCAAATGGTAGAGCATATACTTAGCATGCATGAGGTCCCAGGTTCAATCCCTAGTACTTCCTCTAAGAATAAATAATAAGTAAACCTAATTACCTCTCACTAACCAAAAAACAAAACAAAACAAACATAAAAAGAGCTATCATGCCACACACAAAAAAAATTAAATAAAAATAAACAGTAAGAAATGCTCTAGAGATGGTACTAGGACCAGATTACAGTTAACCATGACACCGGGCTTGCGTATCTGCTTGTCCTGGAAATGCTACTCAGTCCTCATTATAGCCATAACCTCCTCGTTGACATTCTCTTTGCTCATTTTTATATTGTTTCTACACTAGGCAGCTTTGAAAAAAGCCTTTACAACTTGTCAAAGATTAGTTAAAAGGAGTTCCAATTTCATGGGTGAAGGAAGGCTAAGAAAATTATCACCTTATATTTGTATTTGGCTGGAGGGTCATGTTTTAATACTATTAGAATACTGGAGGTATTCAACTAGCTTCTAGATAAAATGAACTGTGTCATTCTGTTTAATACCAAGAAACCACATGGTTCCTTGGGACTGACCCAAGTGGGTCAGATGTTACAGAATAGAATTTACTGCATAAGCCATCAATAGATTTCAAATAATAAAATGATGTAATCCCCATTACAGTGACCAAAGCTTTTAGACTGACACCTTGTAGAAGGCAGAGGATGCCTTTTCCAAGACCCATGTTTGTTTCTCTCAGTGCCACAGAATATCTGGGTATGCTTAAAGGCATCTGCTGACTATAGCTGATTAAATGACATTTTCCAAAGAAATGAGTAGGTCCATGTTAGTTAGTTCAAAATAAGTTAGTGGAAATAACCGTCTGATTATCTTCATTTGTGATAAGTTAATTTCCCATAACTGGATCTTCCGTTCATGGAGGTGCAGGTGGTCCCTGCCACACCGGAGCGTAGCAGGCTATTCACCTGTGCTGCTTAACGGGCTTCGACAATTTCAAACCACCTTCCCAGAAATGTTTTGTAGTTTCAGAATGGTTTCACAATTAGAATAAAGACAGTCCACCATAACAAAAACATGAAATATGGGGCATGTGAAAAACACCCTTTTAAACATTCTTTATGAGAATATCCTCTTTCAATAAAATTCTTTCCTCAATAATGCAAAGGTCATGGCTGCTCACTCTAGTGACCTCCAGAGATAAGCTAAACAGCCAGGCTTTGGCATAAGTAGCAAGGGAAGCTGAGAAAGTGCAGGCAGAAGCCCTCACCTCTGTACAGAAATCATGCATTCTCCTAAGTCCATGCTTCAGTCTGGATCCTTGAGGGATTTGGCTACCCTGTTGGGCTAAACATGAATTCTCAAGTTTCAAAAAAACAGATTCAGTGTGACTGTGGATACACCACCATTTTTCTAGCACTCTGCACAGCTGGAAACCAGATTTCTTTCCTCCGGCTGGGTCAGACACAAGAGGACGGCCTTGTTAATAGATCACTTGGCCCTCCAGCTGCAACCACCTCCAACAACAATTCAGCCATTGTGCTGCTGGCGTGGGGAGCAAGCAGCAGCACCCCTGCAGTGGATCCCCACCCACGGCTGTGAGAGGTTGGAGTGTGCGTTCGTTCATTCGCTCATGGAACTGGATATCTGTACGCACCCTTAACTTTATCCTTAGTTACTTGCTTGGGATAAATTCCCAAGAATAGGATAATTGGGTCAAGGCTTCAGAAACAGCCCTCTGGAAGACTGGACTAATTTGAATCCCACTAAAAGTATGTGAGACTTGTTCCTCTGTGTTCTTGTAAGATTAATTATTGTACTTTTTCACCTCCGCCATAATCTCATTACTTTCTGTACTGCATTATTAGTATTAATCTTAGTATCTCTTTAGCATGTCTTCAGTGAGTTAAGTCTTATTTATCCTCGCAGCGTGTCTATGGGGGAAGGAGGCAGCAGAAAATTTAACTTGTCCCTATTTACTGTACTAGCTGATGATCCTTGTGAAACTCAGGCCTAGGCCATGAACAATAATGCATTTTAAGTCTATTTATGTTATGCTGTGGATAACATAATTTCAACTCACATGAGAACAGAGCCCGGGGATTCTAGTCTGATGGTCTCACGGATAACAGAAGGGGAGGAAGGAGAGGGCTGCTGTCCAAATGGAAGCCATGTGCCATAGGGGCCCTTTCTAACATCCTCAAAGTTCTATTCTTTTCTTCACCCTGGACTTTCAAACATTATGTTTTTGATGGACATTTAATAACACATGAAAATGCTTCTGAGAAAAATAAAAGTTTTGTAAAAATAATATTATCTTAATTTTGTTAAAAGTGAATAAATGTGTGTATGTATGTATATAAGTAAAAGTAACTGGAAGAAAATGCAACAAAATGTTAATGATGAGCTTTTGCTAGATGGTTTAAATTTTCTTCTTTATATTTTTCTGTATTCCCCAAATTTTCTATAGTAAACGCATATTACTTTAATAATTAGGAAAAATAATATACATAATGAATAATAACTGGATATTAATCTCTCTGCATCTGTGAATCTCCACTCCTTACATTTTCATAGCCCAAGTCAAAGGCTTATTATCAAAAAGAACAGAAATAAGAGATTGCAAATATATTTCAAATTGGGTGCCAACTCCCATTAACCAGTGGTGGCAGCCTGGAGCGTTATTTTCAAAAGGACCCTGAGGTTGAGTCCTCCCTCCCCAGGAGACAGAGCTGGGATCACAGAGCAACATCTGGCACAGATAAGGGCTGACGGAGACTTGCATGAGTGTCAGGCTACTTCCCTGAAACACACCAGGCTACACGGGGTCTTAGAGACCATCTGTTTGAATCCCTTATTAACTGATGAAGAAACTGAGGTCCAGAGACATGAAGCAACTACTCAGGGTCCTAAAGGCAGGGCCAAGACTAGAACCTAAGAAAGGAGACTGGCCTTTGGTCTCCACTCCGCCTTCAGCTAATTCATTCATGCTCAGAGGCCCATCCTGGCCTCTGAGAACTCAGTTATCTCCATCAACTCTTCATCCCTGCTGCCAAAAATACTTGGTCTCCCCTGGCTCTCTTTCTTGGGTGGCTGTCTTCCCCTTCCATACGGAGAAAATGGATTAAAACAAATCCCAAGGCTTGGATGGAGTGACAAAATTCTCCCATTAGGTGGCAGTACCAACAAGGAATAGACAAAAGCAGACATCTGAAGTGTGCTTAACCTGACCCGGCCAAAAGAAAAGCCTTTCCTTGGATATTTTGTAGACATATTTGTATCAAGGCACTTTAAAATCTACAAAGTAGATTAACAAAAGATTGGAGGGAAATATACCAAAATATTAAAAGTTGTTTTCAATAAAGGGGTGTTTTTAAAGCCATTTCCTTTTTTATTGTTTGCATCTTCTGTATCTTTTATAATGAACAAAAAAATTTTCATAAAGAAGTTATTGAAATAGTGACAGATTATTTCATTAAAATGTATGCAGAGTTGAGTACTGAAAAGACGTTCACAAAAGCACATAGAAATGTGATAATCTGTATCTCTGTCTCCCATGTCATATAATCACACAAATATAAACGTGAAAAAAATTTTTTAAACAATAGAACCCTGTAATGCTTTAGGAGTATGACTGTATTTTAAAATATTACTAGCCATATTTTTAAGAAACAAAAGTATGATAGATGGTTAAATCGGAGGCATAATATTGAATTACTAGCACATGCAACCATTTCAATATAATATTTTCTTTACATTCACTTCCTTAATACGAAGAGGATTTACATAAATATGTTATAGGGGTTATGCTGCTTCACTTTAAAATGATCTAAAATTTAACACTTAGGGCATTAGTTTCCTCAACATAGGTGTTAAGACTTTAAAACTCTAACTTATTTACAAATAAATATATTGATTCCTCTGAAGTACATATGTATGTATGTATGTATGAACATGTTTAGTAGGTGTTCTTTACCATAAATAATCAGAGAAGATAGATTTTTTTCTTTTTGGAAAGTTCTTCATTTTCACTTTGTTCTTCCCTTTAAGATATTTCCTTAACACTCTTCAAATAGAACCTTCATTTTGAGCCAAGTGTCATAACAGAAAATGAAACCCTTTGTGAAAACCTGCCTCAAGTCCTTACCTGGCATCCCAGGATCAATGCGACTCTCTGGTCCCCAAAAAGTGGAATGATTCCTCTTCTCCGTGGCTGATAACACAGGTGGCTGTTTGGGGGCAGTGGCTTTCTGGGACTTTTCCAACAAGGAGCCCCCACCTGCATCTTTGCCGGGTCCTGTGGTTCTAGGCTGTGCAGTTGACGTGTGGGTCACCATCTTGCGGTCAAGGCTTACTGAGTGTGAAAGAGCTACTGTCAGTTGTTGAGTTTCTTTTCTGAACTTTAGCTAAAACCACTAAATTTGTAATAGATTTAAAGTCATGGATATTGGGGAATGATAACCCATCCAATATACATCAGAGCCCTATAAAAAGCTATTCACTCCTGTTTTCAAATGGGAATCAGTTCTCTCTTCTAACGATTAGCTTTCTACAAGTTCACATAAAGAAATTGGCAAAGACACAACTTAAACCTCAGGTTTTGAGGTTCTTTATCCTTCCTCAAACCAGTATGTCAGTAACCTTCCCACAGCCCTTCTTTCTTGCGGTGCATGTTTATACACACAATATTACAAGACTGATTTACAGCTCTGACTTAGCCACATCTTAATATGCCATAAATTTTCTAAAAAATTTATCAAAACAAAATGTGAACTCATTTAATTTTTTTTCATTTTAGTTTTTTTTTAAAAAAGCATATGCTAAACAGCATTTTTAGGATGGGGAAGAAGCTTTTGGAAAATTGAAAACATCTCTTAAAAATGTAAGTAATATAAAAAAATTGACATTTGTGACTCACATGAAAGACTTATAGTAAATGCTCAATTTAACTTGAGGCATAGCTTGTTCATGTGAAGTTATACCTGAAACCAGGCAGAAAAACAGCACCTCTGAGTTTGCATTTACTGTGAGAATACAGACAAAATGTGATGCAGCCAACTCACAATTTTGACAGAAAGCTTCATCAGACCCATCGGGACATTGCTCCACTCCGTCGCAAGCCAGTGTGATGTCAATGCAACAGCCATCGTCACAAAAGAAGTGGTAGCGCGAGCAAGCGTTTGAGCATCCTGTTTGTAAACAAGTCTCAAGTCACAGGAGGGCAGGAAAGCTAAGATTTCCACTGTGTCAAGATTAACAGAGACTGTGTATATGATGAAACGCATCTGGGTAAAGAGATGCAGACAAAGAGGAGACACCTGACAGTTTGTGCTGGAGTAAAAGGTTCTGGAAAGGTTAGGGGGTTTCTTCTTGACCTTCCTGACTTAATATTCAGGAATCACCATGGACTTTTTGTCTTAGAACTGTTCTCCAAGCTGCCAGTGACTAAGGGATGGGAACGGAGAAGCCTCAGCTCTGGTCTCCCCGATCCAGCCCTGGGTTTCCTCCCTAAGATGACTCACTCTGCATTCATTTGTTCGTCCCACCCACCAACTCCTCAGCAGGTCCCCCCCCCCAACATCACACCCTTTTAACCCCTGCACAGCACTTGGCTGACTGACCGTGTTTTTTCAGATGCTACATCTTGCATTCATGTCTCCTAAGTATTAATTTTTACTGAGATCAACTTCCAACTATTGAACCCTATTTGCTGACTACCATACATCCTTGGTGCTATAAAGAATAAGCAGGATCTTCAGCAACAAGCTGGTATGAATTTATTTCCTACAAATAACGAAATTCTCTCCCTTTTTGAGCTGTTAGGAGTTTTTAGCCTGCAGTGCAATTTGTAAAAGCTACATGTATTGTTCTTGAAAGGCATTCTCTGCATCCCCAACTCCAGATTAAGCCAACTTTACTAGACTTAGCTACATAGCAAGTGGGTGGCTTTCCGACACTGGTAATACAGACTAAAGGCACCAGGCTAAACGTAGGTCACAGGAGTTCCAAAATTTCCCAGGTACAGATGGACTAGACAATTCTCTTGGGACACAGAAGAGTGGCAAATGATGATACCCCTCTGAGACAATGGCTGAGCACTGCATACATGCCCACACGAAATCTTGGATACATAACCTACTGGAAAGCAGTTCAATTAAAAGTTTGGGAAAGGAGTCCATCTGGGTAGAAGGCAATTTGAAGATATCTTGATTCTGGAGGAAGAAGAGGGTAAAAAAAAGAAGTGGTAGAAGAAGCTCCCGAGAAAGAAGAGGAAGCAAGGAACCCACAGTTATGGCTGAGAACTTGGCCTAGAAAGGAGAATCTGCTTCAGTCACAGGAAAGAGTTGGGAGGAAAAGTGAAGGCAAACTGTGACTACCAAGCAGGATGTGGCTTCTGCTCATATTTCTAAAATTCATGACATGAAAATCCTAAATATCTCAAGCCTTTACTTACTCCTTGGTAGTTTGGGAGATAAATCCGTATTAGTAATTTTTCCATCTATTTCTGTGTTAGTGGTCTCCAGATTTTTTTGACCACACGTATCTCCAATCTATAAATCATATTCATGTACCACTATTAACATGTTATACATGTTATAAAACAGATGGAAAACTTAAAGATTAAAAATTAATAAAGATATAAGTTCTAGTGTCTTCTTTTCCATCTTAAAAATGTCTTGACCATCTCTGGGGGTTCCTAGTTGGAGGCCACTTATCTGGATCAAGTTTACAGGGGTTTGTTGTCTTGCTATTTGAATAGATTATTTTTTGCAATGCTTGAAAACATGCAGGCTCTACATCCAAAACTGAACCAAGTTATTACCACAGAAGCAGGGGTACATGCTTGCCTGTTCACCCCAGAAGGTGTTACCCTCGGTTACCACGAAAGCCGGTCATTAACGGCAAGATTCCTGTATATAATAGAGGAGACAGAAACGCCTCTCAGTGCCCCACCTCTGGTTCTCAATGTCTCTGTGTGTGTCTGATGAACTTCAATTCATAGTATGTTATTCCAATCTAACCAGTGAGTGATTCCGTACAGCAGTTAATACTACACACAGCATTCTTTCTTATTTTCTACATAAAGTCACTTACATAAGACCTATATCCAGGTGGCCTTTCAGTAATCAAAGGTGACTCCATTAGTCTCTGCAGCTTCAAATACACTTTACTATCATCTTGAGAAAGGCCAGAAATGTACAACTGGCAACTTGCCTTGGGAGCTCTGGAAAACCAGCCTGAGTAAATAAACCAGCGCAACAAGTGGCTGGTGAGTGGTCAGCCCTCTGCTTCCGTCAGCTCGGGGCCCCTTCTCCCTCTGAGGCACCTCAGTTGTACAAAAGCAACCCTTTTCCAATTTCTGTAGGGGATGACAGCTTCCCATGAGCACTTTCCTCCCGGAATCAGTGCCTGACTTGGTTCCTGCCCGAGGAGCCCTAGTTTCAGAAGGGCAGGCCTCTGGGACCCGCAGTCCTCTGCTGGTAGTGATCCCAGCTGAAGCAGATGCTGTGTTTCCAAGGGCCCTGGTGTATGGCCAGCATTCCAAGGTATGTCTTGAGTACCTGTGTGGCTCTTCCTTGCAGCTGCAATAAATTAAAAAATAGAGCATCTGCTCAAATGTGGGCTGGGCTGGATGTTTCCACTTAGTCACTGTCAGTGACTCAACGTGCTGCAATGAGCCAGAGTCTGGGACCTGGTCTGTCCATCTGCACTCACCCCTCCTCCCCCACAGTAAGCTTAAACCTCAGCCAACCTGATTTTGAATGCTGCTCATGCACTGTATCCTTGTGGAAGGCAAATTATCAAGGCTGTCCTTGGATTCTAAAGTCTCCTTCCTTCATTTCCAATATGCATACTGACCCACATCTTTGGTGGAAGACAAGATCAGCAGACGTACGTACAAGTAAATCACAGCCATATTCCAATGTTTTTATTCTTATTCTTCTGATTGCTGGCTTAATTATCATCCAAATACCGAAGAATCAAAGATGTAGGAGGCACGCTGCACATTTACCAGAGCTGTGGAGTGCACCACCCTGTGCCCAGGGCCTCACACACAGTTCCTGCGCACTGCAGACGCTGAGAAAAGACCGCCGATCGAGTGATAGGACCTGCTCACGTCCAGCACTTCAGCGCTTCCTGCAGTGATTTGCTGGGGGGTGGGGCTTCCCCCTGCAGTACCCCTGTATCTTTAGTGCTGCCAAGTTCATCTAAATTTGTTTCTAACTTGATGAGTTAATCTTAGAAACATAAGTGTCTGGGAAAGTAAGAAACAGATAAATGAGTTTACATTGTACAACAGAATGTAGAGCCTTCAGACATATGTCAAGCTATGTTATCTGCGTATCTGTGTAAAGTATCCATGAAAAATTTTCAATAATCCTTTTACATCGACACATGTACTTCACATATTTTAATGTGTTTTAAATGTACTCCTTAGCTGCATTCTTTGAACATAGGTATCAAGTAGACCACCCTCCTTTAAGCAAGAGCCTCTCCTGAAAAAGCCAGATGATTGTAGTTTATGAAATCGAGTCACAGAAAGATGGAGCATCTACGAGGTCCCCATGCACATATGGTCAAATCTCGTCCCCTGCAGTGCTCCCCCCACAATTCCAATACGGCAGTGTCACTTAGCCCCAAACATAATGAAGCCGATTTTTGTCACCATGTTTTTAGTAAATACTTTCTCATTCAACAACAGCCAGAAGTAAAATGGAAGAGCCCATGCAGTGCATAGGATGTAAAATGCCCGTCTAATGTCATCTTTCCATCAGTGGCCTGTTTCTGTGGGCCACTGTGACTGCAAGGGAAGGGCCTTCCTCTCACCTCCTGTGGAGAAGGCCACGGGAAGCACCGTCACCGAGACGTTATCGGAGCTCCTCTGCCCAGCAGTGTCCATCACAGTCAGCTGAAAGGTGTACGTTCCTTCCTGCAGGTGGGACAGCCTCAGGGTTCCTGACTGAGGCACCTGATACCCAAATAGGAAACATCGTATTTAATCAGGAAACTGAGGCACAGTGTCCAACATCATCCCGCGCTGGAAATCAGTGTTGCCATTGGAGCAGCCCCATGACCCACCAGTCCACTCCTGGTTCAAGGTTGCAAAATACTAAATCACACACTGTTTTGGCAGGTTGATCCTGTTTTGATTTCACAGTCTCCAATTTTATCTGGGCTGATAACATCCTAGACTGACAGTCCTTCTCTTGTCCTTGGCAGCAGTGCTAACAAACCTGTACCTCTTTCCTGCTCCACACCCAAGCTCCACACCCAGCATTAGTCCATTCCCACTCAGCATGTGACCTCATCAATTTCAAGAAAAAAATTAGGACCATAATTATGGTCGTATCTATAGCTCCACTGCTCACCCCATCCTGGGAAGTAACTGTATCCGTACCTGTTGTCACCTCCTTTCCCCCAGCCTAAGATGAGCTGTCCCTCGTTCCCTCCAGGCCAATCCCTCCACCTAGTCCCTGGCCCCTGGCCCTCTGTGACCTTCAGTACACTGACCTACCAATTAATTAATTTCTCTTTCAAATGTCTCTGCTGATACTACGCTCAAGTTTCTCTTGACTTAAAGGCCAAACAACACAACAAACAGTAAAACAAAAAAACCCTCCAAGATCTTTGCTGGCCACAGTCTTACTTCCTTTCCATTTCAACTTAACTTCTTGAAAGGGCTGTCCATGCTGCGCCGGCTGCTTCCACTTGCTCTTTTCCCAGTTATTCTTTGTCCCCCACGCCCGGCCTCCTTCCCCACCATTCCCTGAAACTGTGCTGGTAAAACTCCCTCACTATCTGACCCACCAAAGGTCATCCAGTCATCACAGTCAACAGTACTTATCAGTCTCTACATATATTTTAAATCTAATTTTAAAAATATATATTAAGATATAATATATATTTTTGCCATAAAATATTTAAAAATTTTAACTGGCCCTCTAACTGTATTTAGCAATGCTGGGCACTCCTGTCTTCTGAAGCTCTCTACCTCCCTGGCTTCTGTTTCTGTGTCCAAGTGCCCCCAGCTATTCCTTGCTGATCACCCATGGGCTTCACTCCCGCACATCCCTGAACCCAGGGCTTCATCCTGATCCTCTCCTCCTGCCACAATACAGGCAGCTTCCTGGCTGTGGAAAGTGCTCAGTTTGGGGAGTCACTTTTGGTTGAAGGACTGTTTTTTTCCACCATCCCAATGATACTATTAACTGTAAAAAAAAAATCCCTTTCTGCTTAAATGAACTAATCTGGATGTTATTGTTTACAAACGAATTCTCATCATTACACATGTTATTACATTGATGCATGAATGGACCTGAAGGTACAGAGAGTGTCGCTATTATAAGTATCATCTGCTGGTTCTTATTTATGAAATTCTAGAATTCGGACCCTTGCACATAAGCTTGGCTTAGAGGATTTGTCTAAGAGCATTATAAATACACACGAGTAGAATGCTTTACAATCATTTAGAGGCAATTTAATGAAATACAGTGTTTTTTAGGTTGCTCTATAATCACCCGGGGCTCCTATTAAGTGCAGATTTCTGGGCCCAGCCTCAGCGTTTGAGTCAGTGGGTGTGGAGAGCAGGGTCTGGGACACATAACAAGCACACCCAGGTGATGTACCAATCACACTGGAAGAAACAGGGGTAAAGTGGTTAAGAGCCCAGAGCCTGGCATCCGATAGACCTGTACACCAGCCTTGCCATATACTGGCTAAGCGGCCTTGCACAAGTCACTTAATCTACCTGGGCCTCAGATTCTTCACCTGTAAAACAGAAGTAATAATAGCACCTGCCCTATGAGGATTAAATGAGATAACCATGTAAAAAGAGCATAATACAGGATTTAAATATAACAGAAATTATAGATATAAAAATTTTTTAAATTTATATAAAAAGCTTAATATAGTAAATGCTTAAATACATCCACTATCTCCATTGGTCGATTCTCATGTCAAGATGAATGACATTACCATTTTTATAGATAAGGAAACAAAACCTCAGTAAAGTGACTTTCATTCGTGGAGGCAGTGACAGAATCGAGACCTCCCGTCGTAAAGGAGTCCACAAGCTGTCCCATCACTTTCCTTGCAGAAGTTGGCAAGGAGGCCACCGGCCCTTTGTTGTTTATTTCAAAGAGATGTTAAGGAGCATCACTGCCACCCTGTTATATTGTCTTCAGGCCCAGCTGCACCGAGAGAATATCACACCTGGCTCATTTACATGAGAACTAAAACACTACCTAAAAGCCTAGCAGAGAGAGGAAGATAATGAGATAACTTCAGAAGAGCCTGGAGTGGGAACTGGTCCCGAGAAACAAGACCTTACTGAGATGAGAGTGGCAGTCAGTCTGAGGACAGTCAGAGAAGTTCAGAGATTCCGAAGAGTGAGATTTAAAATGAGACAAGAACAGTGGTTTGGTACCTCAGGGTCATATTTAACTCCTCTTCTTTTTCTCATTCCACATACAATCCATCAGGTAATCCTGCTGGTTCTGCTTTAAAAAGCCATCACGTCCACTGTGCCCACTCCAGTCTGAGCCCATCCTGTCATTGCAGGGGTCAGAAGACTTGAGCTCCAGTGGGACTGAGGCCTGGCACACCCTTTCTCCTAGAAACTTTCTCTCCCACTCCTGTCCACATGGTTGCAAGGGAAGGGTCAGTGAAGACCTCTCTCTATGGCCACAGGGATGTGAGGCTAACCTAAGGGGAGCCAGTGACAGTGCCTGGGTGGTGAAGCACGGATCTGCCTACGTGGAGGTGGTAGGTAGGGCAGGCTCCTACTCTTTCCAACTCTGGCTCAGTGTCAGGCAGCCTTGCTAGGCAGCAACAGGTTACACCACGATGTCCTGCTTCTTGGGACTTAGGCAGGAACGCATGGGAACACCACACTGGAGTGTGTTGCCGTGACCCTGCAGCCTCGAGCAAGGTGGTGTGAGAGAGAGGCTCTGTCCTAGAAGGTCTGCCGGAAGGCAGGCACACGACTGCGAAGGCCAGCAACGGCGGGGTTCACTGCCCTGGGTGTATGGGAAGAGAGGGTAGGTTGTAGGAGTGAGTCAGAGTTGGGGTTTGTAGGGTGGGTGTGACGGGGGACACTGAGTGTGGCCATAGGAGTAAGGCGGAGATGAAGTTAGCGGAGATTTTAAGAGACCAGGGAAGCCGTGAGGCTGGGACTGGATGGGCCATCCACACAGACACTGTCATCACCCAGGCCCCAGTCAGATCTCTGCAAAGGTGAGTCACTGGGCTTCTGGGTGCTGACACTCAGCACGCCAGTGCCAAACTAAAACTCTGGGGGCCTTCTCTGGGAAGCCCCAGGGCTAGAATGCTGGGGCTGGAAGGACAGAGCATCCCCCACCTAAAGGGCCAGTCCCTTGGCCTGGGCCTTGGCTGCCGCCCTCCAGCCTTCCTCAGTACCTCCTCTCCAGTGCAGGAGACACTGGATCCAGATGCAGACCGTGGCAATCACCTTCAACATCCTGGGTGCACTCAAATTTAGGTCTTTTCAGATTAAATATCCCTTCCCTGGCTTGTGTGAGTGAGTGAGTGAGTGAGTGAGTGAGTGAGTGAGTGTGTGTGTGTGTGTGTGTGTGTGTGTGTGTGTGAGTTGGTGATCCTCATCAAATGACTGCTCTGGTCCTCCTTATTCACTTGGCAGAATTAACATGGTTTCTAATGAGCCAAATTTCCACCTGGCTCTTGTGGGGCCAGGGCACTCCAATAAGTAGAGTGGAGGTATGTAGAAGTTTGTCTCAAAACCTTTTTCAGATAAATATAGTTTGAAAAATCTGCTTGCAGGGGAAGGATAGCTGTGTCAGGTTGTGCAGCTCAGCTATCCACAGGCGCAGTGATGATCAGCCGTCTCGACAGGAAAGCTCCGAGAGCTGCTGGGTTTGGACAACAATGGAAAGGGGTTGACACACTGACAACTGCTGACAGAGCGTGGATCTTGCCCAAAGGGCCTCTAAAGCGGGCTTGCATTTGGCACCAGTGCACATCTGTAGGCCTTGCCTCTATGAACAGAAACTAACTTAATACCAAGGTCTTTGTTTGAGGCTTATTTTGATAACTGAAAAGGTTAATAAGATCCTATTAGTCTCCTGTGAAATTTCCTCTACAAAAGCCTAACCCCACCTCCTTTCTAGTAATTTGTATAAAGCTTTCGCTGTATCATTTTCAGTGAAAAAAGGAAGTAAACACTCTGACTTTTTGCATTCCATCATTTCAAGTTACTTTTGCCTGCTGTTGTTTTATTTCCTGGAAGCAGACAATTCTTTTACATTTTTAAGCCATAAATGATAAAACATTGATTTCAATTTTGAATCCCTTTCATGACACAACTTGTGGTACAAAATGTTTCAGTAAGCCAACGAACTCTAACGCTTTCTAGCTTTATGTCTCATGTCAACTAATCCAACTTGCAAAACTGGACACAAGCTCTGTTCGTGGTTTGAAGACAATTACAACCCTTGTTGTAATCCACTGCCACCTCCCCCAGTGCATACAGACAGTGAAAAAGACACAAGAGGCAACTGTCCTGATCAGCAGAGGCTGGAACATAAACTGGTACCACAGCTGTCTAGAGAGTTCAGGAGAACATGCTTAGGCTCTGATCTTCAGTTCCATGTTCCTTTTCCTATTTCCTTACTTTCCAGCATGGATAGGGCCCAGAGCTCCATAAAAAGAAGCAAAAGGAACCCAATAGCCTGTCCTTTTCTAGTTGTACTCACTCACATGAATGGAGTTAGATCATATTCACAAGGAACAGCACTCTGATGTGCCCATTGTCCTCAATTCTGGAGGAAGGTGATTTTAAGAGCATTTCTTCAAGAGTTGCGGATTTCCCTGACCATCCTAACCAGAGGAGGATCGTTTTTAAAAGAAGAGAACCTAAGAAGGCAGTAATTAAAATAGAACTAAATTGCTTATCAAGAGATTTCAGGCATCAAAGGGAGAAATATTTTGGAC